TATATAAATTATATTATTTAGATTTATTATATTCTTTAATATTTTATAATAATAAATTATTTTTTATTTATTATTAAAATATAGATATATATGTATTATGTTAAAAGGAATGACCTCACACAGGGAATAGTGGGAAGCTGATAGGGCAGAACTGAGGTAATATTGGTCTAGTAGGTTAATCTCTCTTTTAAGTTCTACGGAAGTGCGAAGCTCTCTTACAGAGAGCTTCTCAATCTAGTCCTAATAGGACTAGTGCCCTGTGCACGTGCTACGCAGGAACCATTCACTTTAACATATTAATTTATTTAATTATTCAATAGATACTTTACATTTATATTTTCAAAGAATAAAAGATTATAGTATTATATCTTCCTTTTTGAGAGGCTGATATTAATAGTGGGGCAAAAAAAGAAAGAAGATGAAAAGACCGAATAAAAGACTAGAAGACAAGAAAAGAGATGTGTTCTAGAATCTCGCGAATTTTATTATTTGAATGTCTGCGTTGGCCAATGTGGGAGGGGTCCAGGATTGAATATGATTGGCTCTCTTGAATGCGACAGCATCGATTTGTTGTCAATTTTCAATTTCACATCTAGCCATTCATACAACCATAATTAATACCAGTGTAAACAACTTTCTCCCCTTCCCCTTCCCCTCCCCCCTTCCCTTCTCTTTCTCCTTCTTTTTCCCCTTCCCTGCCCTCACCCCCTATCGTCCTTTTCCTTTCCCTCTCTCCTCTGCATCCTATCAAGTCTCCTACTTCATCCCCGCCGCTCACCCAGGTTCTCCTTCACCAATCCGAATCAAACCCAGCTCAACCAAACTTTACATGATAGTAGTACATCCTGCACTGTATTGCACTGGGTAGGGTACTGTGCCCATCCCCATCTACGGATTATACATACCTTTTACTTTTAACCTTGCTCACCACACTCAATACACTTTAACATTTTCATACTCTATTCGTCATTACAATAACGAACACTTTCAGCTGAAGAGTTGTCTATGTTCCCTCTTGATAAGAAAAGAGCGTAAATTTTACTACGTACAATATTGTCAACGTCATCGTTGATCATATTTATTGTTATTGTCGTTTCTGCTATTTATTACTTTCTACCTTTTATTAACACTGCGAGCAATTCCGATCCTTATCACTATCTATAATTGTGGCCCCGCGCATCCTGGCTGCCACGACTGGCTCTAGCCTTCATCAGCCTTTCCTGCTGGCCTTGCACACTCCTTCTCACTTCGCCATCGCTCCTTTACTGCGCACTTTATCGACAATTACATCTAAGTTCTTTCCTTCAAAATCCATGGCACTCCGTCAGTGAGGAAGGATTCGAGGTAGTATGTCAGTGTAGTGAGATGACAACATGATACAAATGCAACGATCCTCGTCGCTCCCTGGGCCTGGGCATGCCTCACCTCGTACGTCTCGTATCTGCGATATACGACATCTTATTGTTCTCTTATATTATTTTTCTTTTCGTCCTAGAGAAAATTGCTAATGCGCCGAATCGCTAGCTGTTTCCCCAACAATCACTCATGTATCGTCCAGGAGCCCAACCCCTTCTCCTCCAGAGAACGACGGTTTACCACGACTACATCGATATCAGTCGAGAAGTCCACAGAGACCCATCACTTCTTATAAGGACCTGCCAAATGATGGGGATGAAAGATGGAATGCTGGCCAGGATTCTTCGCGTTCGCCATCGCCCTCACCCACATCTTCTCAGGACACTTCGGGTGCCGTAGATAGATCATCTACTCCAAAGCCGCATAATCAGCAATCTATAGCTCCAATGAAGATGCCTCAGCCTCTATTGCAGGATGTTTCTCAGTATATGAACACACACATAAGTGCAATAACCGCAATGACTGAGAATACGAGCCTAGAGGAGCTTGCCCATTTGGTTAGATTGTCCACGTACCAGGAAAAGAAGCGTGTCCATTCACGCATCCGTTTACAGAGATCCCTGGTATCAACAGCACTTTCTGCCCGTTTGGCGCGGTGTGGGGAATTGGCACATAGAACCTTGGTTGATAACTTTAGGGCTGACGAGAAGAAAAACTTTGCCAACCTTTATAATGCCATACATGATGTTCGAAACTCATGCGATGCCTCCCGGCGCTTCGCTTTATTGGAGCCTGATTTTGACAATGGACGGTCAAGTATATCCAGTGCCGAGAATACAGGACCTATGTTGAACTTCATGCATGAGATTCCCCTACGATCTCGTGAGTGCCTGCTTAATTTTTTGACCCAAATCAGGACAAACTCGGATTATTTAGCTAGTCGTATAGCCAGCCTTACGCCGACGGAGTTGTCGGCCTTGACAAGTTTCCATCAAGGTTTAGAAGCTATCGATTCTGTTCTGCCCTTTCATACCCGTTCCAAGGGGCATACAGCTAGTGCCCATCGCAATTTTTCGCATATACCCTCTGCAGTTGAGCGTTTACTTTCTTTTCAGCGTCATGATCCTTTATCTGCTTTGATTCATACTTGTTTTGCAAATTCGGCTGGTCCCGATTCCCTAGAGGACCTAAGGAGAACAGATGTGTGGGCCACAGCATGCGCCAGATTAATTACTGAGAGCAAAAGCGGAACGGACCCCTTTATCTGTAGTGTTTTGAATGTCTGGACCACTATGAGGGATTGGTCAGGACGGGGCAATATGGAATGGTATTTGATGAAAATCCTTGAGGATGGAGCTTTTCTATTGGAGAAAGCCGAGGATCAGGCTGGTACCCGTATACATGTTGAGCCACGGAATGCAAAGGACTCTATAGCCGCAGATGAATTTTATGATGGAGCAATTCATGGTCTTTTCGGTATCATTGACGATCCAGGTGCTGGAGGTATTCCAGAAGGTTTAATCGAACTTGGTAACGCCATACTTCGAAAACTCGACCCCAAGAGACACGGACCTACCAGGAGATTTTTAGTATCAAAATGGTTATTCTCTGTCTTTTTATTGAATGCAATAATCCATCCAGAGGTATATTGAAGCCCTGGTCTATATATTTCACCCACTGACACGTATAGTCATACGGAATGATGTCTGAATATCACATTACGGAATATGGTAGGCAAAAAATACTGAAAGAGGTTGCGATGCGTGCACAGCGCCTTGTCGTTGATATGACCTGGTATTATTATTCTCCCAGTTGCTATTCCACTTTACTAACTCTATCAACAGGAATAAGTCCTCTCCGCCACCAGCAATCAAAGCTCACATAGAGAATATCTTGGCACGTTTCCGTTCCGCAAGACCGTCAAAATCCATTGCAAAGCTGCTTCCCGCAAGGTCTATTACCTCTTTAAGGGAGACAGCCGAGGTGCATCCTTATCTTGTTCTAGCACCTGCTGACCTAATGACCATGGTAAATGCATTGTTTCCAGAAAGACGGCCTGCATCAAGTTTCTCCATGAAAGACTCCCATCTCAGTGGCTTGCGATCTGCGGCTTCTTCTGTCTCAGGAATGTCTGCCATATCAGTGCAAATACCGCAACCGCCTATTCGTGAAAGTTTAGACAGTGCTTCAATAATGAGTAACAGTGGCTCATCCACGATTAGTGATGTAACCACATCAAGAGAGCCCCTGCTCAATGAGACATCGAGCACACAACAACGAGCATCGTCTATATCAGTATCATCTAATCGTCAAAACCAACGACTTAGTTATTATGAAGACGATGGTTTCGAGCTCCGGGAAGCTCTCCAAGAAATGTCGCGTGCTTTAGGTAGCAATACAACCTCCGGCGCATGCCATCCTTGCGCCGAACGATGGATTGTTTTATTCATGACACCGGACGGACAGGGTCTGTCAACTCAAATGCTCCATGATGACGACGAAGATGATGAAGAAGCTACTTCTAGCAGTGACACAGATGAGGATAACAATGGAGTTCGTTCAGATCTTGATAAAGACTATCATCAGTTGAGAAGCTCCATTCTTAAACTTGTGGAAGATTATGAAATCCCGGAATCGCTTGATTCGAGAAGTGAATCAAAGACTTTCAGCAATCGCACATCAATCCTGGAGACTCCTCGTAGGAAGTATCACAGCAAGCCAAAGTCTCTAGCTCAGATACAATCGAGGAACCCCTATCGCACTCAGGATCAATCTCCAAGAACAGATAAATCTTCAAGAGCGGTTGATACTAAGCATGCAAGACAGAGAGCTGAAACAGAGACCGAGGCTCCTTCCGTTCTGATTTCTATGCTAGAAGCTGCTGAGTCTCAATGCAAGGCACAGTCTGATTTTATTAACGCTCATCTATACTGGAAAACTCTGAGACAGCTCAATCAAATGTCATCCGCTTCACTGAAGAGGGATGGCTTTGCATCTCTCCTGACTATTCTCTCTAGGGGACCCAGGGACTGCATCCGACGCTCTACCAGTGCCATCGAAGAATACGACGCCTGGTTGGTTTGGCTTAAGCAGTCACAGGAACGCCACGATACAACAATTGAATCTATGATGAAACGTCTGAAAGCTCTCCGTGACAAAATGTGGTATGTCACCGACGTTCGGAATTCGGCAGCCTATGAGGGCACTCGAAACATTGCCATAGCTCTGAAGTGCATGGTTTCACCAAAGAAAGGATCCCATTTGGATAAGTCTAACACGCGCTCTCGCAATATTCCGAAGCCGGTAGCAAATAATTTTCTTCTGAAGACAGAGGCGCAAGTAATGGACATGATGGCTGCTAATGAGGACCAAGGCGGTCCAAACAAGCTGTCGGACGAGCAAGCAGAGAAGACTCTGAGGTGGCTGTCTCAGTTTGGTATCGAAAACTTTTGCAAGGGCGAAGAAAGAATCCATAGATTCAGCTTGGAGATCGAAACGTGCATCAATAAACTCGTTGGAGATAATTTGATGGAAGGGCCTGTTCTCTGGTCTAGTGAGCTTTACAATAGAGATAAACGGATTCTGGACAGCGGAAAACAAAAAGGCGATCTTTCTTTCAACAGTTTTGGGTCTCTGAACCTGTCTGGGGAAGACTTGACTGATGCCGATAGCACACGCCGTGGCCTACGCAGTACAGACTTCAATCGTCCTGGGTTCCATGATCTTCGGGCTATGTCTACCAGGAATAATTCCCAGCAAAGTTTCAGCTCGGGAAGATTCAACACATTACGGATAAATCCTCCAGGGGATCTTATGGACTCACAGGATTATTTTGGGATGGCAAGTCCCGTATTGACAATAGATTCTGCAACGACTTTCTGGTCGCCTCTTCAAACCCGAGCTCAGTCACCAACCACGAGCGTCAGCAGTCATCGGCCAGATACTGCCTCATCTACCAATGAAACTATCATGCTAAAGGATGACCATATGAACGCAGCTAAGCAGCGATTTTTGACAGATTTGAAGCAGACTTTGACGAGCTTGCTACTGAGCGACCTTGGCACCCTCGTTTTTGCTCGTGGGAGTGAGACAGATTCTTGGTTTTCGGGTTCTATAGGTCAAGACTGTATCGAAAGAAAAGATCGTGCAGATAGGAGAGCCAGGAGGAAGAATAGAAAACGTGTAATTGAAAAAAAGAAGAGTTTTGGGGATCTTCGCGGAGCTCAAAAGATAGAACAACCCCCAATAGAACGCCAAGACTCACATGGCGAAAAAGCGGAAAAGGGTTGCACGTCGAGTAACAAAAGTCTCCCAGATACTGGAGCTTCGGAAAACCGTTCTACCACGGGAAGTTCTTCCACTAGCGATTCTGTCAGCACAAGGCCTAGGAAGGGTACGATCAGAGCCGCAAAAGAGTCAGATAATTTGGAGTTTCCTTACAGAATGGCTTTTCAGCGCCTATTGCGCATGTTTTCTGTTCACCCTAATCCCTACGCGAAGCTCAACGCGCTGTACGAGTTGGAGCATTTGATCATAGCATACTTGACACCGTCCACCACGAGGCGGCCTAGAGTGCGACAGGAACCCGTACCCACCTCCCCACAATCCCCGGAAATTTCGCACCATACTGCCTTCGGGCCTACCGATGCCACAACAACCACCCCAAGGGCAAAAACACTTGGAGAAGCGATTGACAATTGCAAAGAGCGTCGGTCCCATACAATCAATCAAGGAGATAACCCTTCGCCAGCCAACCGAAATACTGATCGATATCCGAGCTCGAATGTGCCAACTGCCGCGAGTACGGATATGATTGTCGAAGTCTTGCAAGACCTGTTTCGCGACGCAGACATGAGGCCAAAGACATTGTTCCGCGATCTACAATTCATTGCTTCATTTGTCCCAGCTGCTACTTTAGATAAAACTGAACGCGGGAAAGCTTTCTGGGACGCTGGACTTGCCGCACTTGGCCTGAAACAAGATGTCTGTCGCACACTCATAGAAATTGCAGATGAGATAGTGGTACATTACACCCAAACCCGGAAGACAACAACCACAGTACCAGACTCATCGTCCCTTAACGGCGAACTGATGAAATATAGCATGCAGGATGCTGCTAATATGTGGTCAATTACGGCTAAAGAAGGGGACCCGGTGGCAGAGCGAGAACTTGCCATATTTTATCTGACTCACCCTGAATTGGTGGAAAGAATTACTGCTCCCTTGAGCAAACCTCGCGAAACTTTTAAAGCACAGGTCATGGAGATGCATCAGGGCAAAGAAGGTGTGGTGACGGAGAGGGATAGAGAGAGGAGTGATCCTGCTACTATGTGTGTTGCTTATCATTGGATGGAGCTAAGTGCACTTGGCGGAGACGAACTGGCAAAGAAATATCTACGACAGCGCGAGGAACTGAACGCCATTCCATGAAACATGATTGATGATATGGCAGGAATTTTGACATGCGCATATTACTTCGCAAACGAGACCATGAATGAGGCTGTATATACCACTGACGGAGTTCTTTTTCAAATATTTTAAGAGATACCTTTTTCTTCATGGCAACAAGTAATAAGCCAATTTTTTTTTAGCTCGGCATACTTTCTCTCTGTACATAATGTTCCATGCAGTTCTTGAGTATTTTATGCTGGGGTTTTGTTATCCATCAGCGTATAATGAAGTTTTGAAATATGTCACGTGCAATGTTGCTAGGAGTTCGTTCTGTCTGAGGTTGCTATATGAGCTTGACATTTTGAAAGACGTTGGTATTTGATTTTGTATGGCCTGTTCGTCATGTTTGAAATAAATGGTATTATCTGGCCCACCTTGCACCCTCAAGCCCCGAAATCAGAAAGTTAGCCTATTCATAACTCTTTGTGGTTATGATTAGAGTGTATCATTGCGACAGCGCTGATTATCCCAAAGTGAATATGGTGGTATCGAATTTAATTAGATTGTATTATCAACCGTCTGGTAGGAACCCTCTTCAATAATTCTAATCCACTAAAACAATCGCAACGCTGTGCCGCTGTGCGTGAGATAGGAAAACGCGAACAGAAACCAGGTATACCTAGCTCAGTTTGAGAGGGCTGGTACTAATTTCAATCCTGTGAGCTCCTTGTGCTTAGTGAACCAAGTTATATGAATAGCTTCATGTAACAAACTGACTCTTCCTAACGAAAATTGCGTTCTTGACTCGCTCTCTTTCCCTCAAGAGCCGATTTCTCTCCTTGTCGAGGTAATGAATCGGCCATCCACCAACCGGCTCGGCTTTTGTCATAAAACTCGTCTTCCACTTAATGTTCCAATCAGTGAACCCAAGGTCGTAGAAGGGAAGGACCAAGTTCAGCTGGGGAATCGAGAGCGGCTTCTTGGTGTTGGAAGGCGTTTGTAGAATGACATCTAAACGCTTGATTTTTGGGAAGTGTTGCAATTTAGCTACGAGTTTCTCAATATGCTGAAATTCATGGGTCTGTTGGCAGCCCAAGACAGAAGAATTGATCTTAGATTGGTCCGCATCAAGAATCGAGGGGAAAATAATGTTGACGAACATGTACCTAGCATGGGCAGTAAAGTCTGGGCCGAGGTTATCGATGTACTTGAGCAACGTTTCGTAGTCCTTGCGAGGTTTCTCCTCTCCTTCCACTTGAGCATTGTCAGAAATCATTTCTTCCTTGGAACGCAAATCAACTTCAATTTCGATCCAATTCTTCGCCCAGAATTCCTCACGCTCCTTCGCCGGCATCTTGCTAACAGTATCTGCCACGTCATAGACATCAGGTTGAAATTCATCGGCACTTGCATGCTTATACGGATATCCACTCTCGGTGAAGCGCTCGGTAATACGGGCGAGGTTTCTAATGACGCCAAGCTTGGTGATTATGATGTCCTTCTTCTTTTTATCTGCGCGACCAAAACGGGATTTCTCTGGCCTAGGGCCAGTGAGAAATGCAACGGGAGATGGTGTTGAAAGTGGGGTCTCCTTCAGCTTCGTCGGAGTGACAAAGGGGCTTGATCCGGTCTTCTTCGGTGTAGATTGCACAGAGGAAATTGAGATAGCATCCATACTATCTCGGACTCGATGGAACGCTGTCGTCAGATCAAGGCCGTGAGTATTCGTGGAGTTTAGCTGGATCCGATTGGCCGGGACGGTACCAGTCTCCATCCGCATTTGCAGTTCAGTTATAGCATCCAACTGGCCAACCTTGGTATAGATCTGGTGGGTCGTTCCTGTCAGTTGTGCATGATCCGATAAGTCCTGTGGGTTTTGTGATTTCTCGAATGCCGAAGATTTCGAACTAGTATCCCCATGGACCTTCGGATATGATGCAATCTTGACAGGAACGGCCGGGACAAACTCTGGTGAGGTTGCAGATAGTGACTTTGCTACTCCTTTACCCAAGGATTCGAAGTTTGGGGTTATCAATGTTCCCTGGCGGAATGATTTAAATGCCAAAGGACTTTTGGGGCTTAGGGCTGCAAATCCATTGGATTCGCCACCCACGGCGGACGGGAATGGCAAGATTAAGTTTGGTAGGTCAACAGACTTTTTTGCTCGAGCGTTCTTGTTCCCCATGATGTTATTGCTTGTGCACGACGAATGGTTGAGATGATATTTCAGAAGTGGTTGTGTTGTGTTGGAAGGAAAACTTAAGCGTGTCTAGGATTGATGGCGTCTTTTCTAGACGTCTGTAATAGAACTCGCGTTAGTATAGAACTCGAAAGGATATTACATGGAGTGACATCAGAATGTACATTCGAGGTGGGATATTCGGTAATGCTCTTGGTCCACATATAATGGCACAAGGAAGGATCTATTGCAGCCAGAACCGCCTTTGACGAGATTTTCGGGCGTTCAAGAAATGTTCAGGTGTTTCCTCTAAGTTATGTGCAGTACGTGTACCTACAGTAGATGAGCGACGGCTCAGAATCTAGATAGATCGAGACCGTTAGAGGCTGAGGAAGAGTTTTCAAAGACAAGAAGTAAGCGTACCTGACTAAGAATAGGATACGGTCAATGAGAAAGAGAGTCGTACTTGCGATGAGCAACTTCTTCTATTGCTTTGATTCTGGAGTTGATACCGTACGGAATCCAATAGAGGAAAAGTAGTGGATTGGTTAAAGAAATTTGTGGGCTAGTTCAATGGCTGGCAATGTAACTAGCATTGGCTTTCTAAGTTAGAGAAATGAAGTGAATTGATATGTATGAGATGAAAGTGAATCAATCTCCTCAACAATCCACTGCCGCTATGCCCAAATATCATATGACCAAGGAACAAGAAAGAAGAAATTTGCCTACCCCAATGGCAAATTTTACTTGTCCAGAAAAGTGCACGGAAAGAGGGGTAAATGTCATCCTATGTACTGTTGCATATCCAAAAGAGCTATTCTAAAGCTACCTACGCAAGTTGCAAATATGCTACATATGCGATAGAGATCAAATTTTCACTTCAAGCACAAGCAAAGTGAGATTTCTATTGATTTGACACCTAAAACTCTTTACCGATTTGACAGGTACCCAGAACTTGGTTGTGACATAATCGGCATATGTATCGCAAAATGTAACACTTTATATTTATATGGCCATCTTTAGATTTCATCCCATATAGTTTCTCCTAATCAGTCCAGAATCTCGTATTATAATCCAGAGATGAAGTCCTGCAGTGCTTGGAAAGCTACACTTCTAGAAACTGTATACCTGTATTGACCACTTCAACACATGATAGTAAAGCAAGAATCAATAATCTATGATTCCCAATGTTGCACTAGGCGCAGACTTCTTGAGACAATGTTCTTCGTGACTGTGGTAAGCAAACCTTCATACCATCATTGTTCCGTGGTGTAAAGAACAGTAAAAGCAAGCTAGCTGGCGTTGACAAAACATCAAGCACTAGATACCAGAAGCTGGAATTTGAATCGTTACTGTTATAATCTAGACAGCCGTATTTTCTCCAAAGTCATGGTATTTTTGATACCATTTTATAGTTCTCCGGTATTAGTCACATCATGCTTGTTGTCACTATAGGAATCATCCCCAAAGAGCTTCCTTAGTCCACCGACCTCCAGAAATGGCTGGTGGTGAGAGGAGGACGGAAGACCAAACCTCTTGGCCATCAACATAGAGACGAAATTTTAGAGTGCTTTGGTCGCTGGCTGTATTTTCAATTGTGATAGCTCCCAATTTTGAATTACCACCTGGGATGTATCTATAGAAACATTAGCAAATGTCCCACAATAGGAACCTTCGAGATATATGTTACTTGATTTTAATATCCTCCTCGTCAGATTGCCAATAAGTATGAATCGGCAAATAGAACTGACTGAGAGGACTCGTAGAAAACTCATTTACGGTTGCGCTGATTGGCCAACGACCATTCGAGGGAGGCGGAAAGGCGGTTGCGGCAAATTCATGTCTATCTCCACTGATAACCACAACCCCACAGCCTCCACGGAGGCCAATATCCCACATGGCCTCGAGGATTATCTGGCGCTCGGAAAGGTAACCAGCCCAAGTATCCATACTATTGACCCGCTGAAGCGTTGGTGAGTTAACAATTGCTTAAAGAAGAAGAGATTTAAAGTAGAATTACTGAAAGTGTATGACATCAGGGATAAGTAGAAACAAGTAAGTAGAGTTGAGAATTGAGGGCTGTTGAATTGCAGAATGAATGACACTTACCCAATTTTTCGTGAATGGAATGCTAGATGCTACGATCTTCCACTTGACACCTTTTGGCTCAGGTTTCTTAAGAAATTCAAGAAGATCAGCAAGTTGTTGTGCACCAAGCATGGACTTCTCACTGCTGTTGGCAGGAAGATCAGAAGAAGAATCTCGGTATGTTCTAGTGTCCATTAAGAAGAATGAAGCGGGCCCTTGCGTGAACTCAAAGTACGTAGCACCATGTCTAGGTGTATTATAAGTTCCGGCCTGGCGAGCTCGAGGAGGGTTGACGGATGTTTGATAATGATGCCACGGATCAGCTGCTGCATCGTAAATCTTGAAGTTTTATGGTCAGCAGGTATGCGCCTAAAAACAACAGCACTTGCCCGAATATTGAGCCACAACCAGACTTCCGATACTCGGGGTTGAAGTGTGGGAACGAGCGCTTCCTGACTTACCCCTGTTGTTTTCTTATCCCAATCATTGGCAATTTCATGATCGTCGAGCACGTGTATCCAGCCTCAAGAAGCTCCAAGTTAGCAATTAAAGTCACTGCGTAGATAGAGGGACACAGAAATGACACGATGTGCCATCAAAAAAGTAGACAATTAAGCCTTGATTGTACATGGCAATATTTCAGGAATTACTCACTTAAATTTTGCCCAACAGCTGGCCAATCCGGAGAGCTATAGACCTGTCTGTACTCGCGGCGGTAATCTTCAACAGTCACTCCAAACCTCTTCGGAACATCAATGTAAATAAAGTCGCCAAGAAAGAGCATAAACTGGGAACCTCCAGGGATTTTCTTAATGACATCTGCCATATGCTTGAAGCCGGGAATTGCCAAAGCGTGATCAAAAGGTCTGTAAGGAAAGCGAGGTTTGATACAACTAGATGTAAAAAATGTGAAAGACCCTGATTGAGGAAGATGTCCAGGCTTGGGAGGAGTAGTGAAAAAGCCAGTGTGGTTGTTTGATGTGGTCCATTGGTAAGTCCTCTCAGGATGATTTGGCAATGAGAACTTCAAAGCTTGAGTGAAGTCAGTGTCTTCTGATAGAGTGTGTATCATTCCGGCGAGTTGTGGCTTCGGATTTTCGTAAGCAGCTGCCGGAGTTGCTAGCTGATAAGTGACGGATATGGGAAGCTTAGAGATATCTGGCTCTCGAACGAGTAAATTCGCTTCCGTAGGGGCACTTCCAAATAGTTAGAAATAGTACACAACAGGAGACGCGGCTCTGTTTAGCGTGGCATGTCAAAAGACACCTCTAGCATACCGAGATGATCCCAGATACTAGACTGGAATTTTAGTAGTATGCTACGACTAGACGGAATTGTCGCATGTTTTTCTTGGTGGGGGTGTAGTAAACGCGTGAACCTACATGTAGCCCATTCGTGCGAATGATAGCTCTGTGCTGGGATGAAAAACTTTTGCATAATATACTAGGTCAATTGTGGCCAGAACAAAACCCACGTTGATCAAAAATGTCAAAAGTGAGAGCAAGGTCGATACAGGATCAGGCGCGCCTGTTAAAAGTGTATGTATTGGTCTCGGTGATTCCCCATCTATCATGACTGTCTCCTTAACCTCAACTTCTCCCTCCACATCCTTTCGTTTGTTTGAACCCGATTTATCTTGAGAGTGTGTAGCAGTCGATGAAAGTGTTCGCGGCTGGTCCTCGTGCGCAGTATCAGTAATGATGATTTTGATATCATCTTCTACCACGGTATATATGTTCCGCGTTACATGGCTGGCAATGAAGGAGGGGACGTATAGTGCAAAAAGAGTGTAAATGATGGGAGGCCATGGCTAGCAACAAGTGTTAGTGGTCGATGTTGGAATTTTGGAGCTATCCCTACTTACATGGCCAGGGATGATGCGAAGAAAGATATAAGTCACAATTCGCAAAGCGATTGAGCTCCAAGTGGCTACCTTTTGCTGAACTGTTGACATGGTAGGTGAAGGAGACTCAAAACAAGCTTAATTCACACCAGACCAGACCGAAAACAGAGGGTCGGATACGAAGGGAATACGAAGGGAAATAATATATAATAAGAAAGCTGCATGTATTGATATCCCACTATCCTGAACTGGAAGTTGTGGAAATAGTTTAGTTTAATCATACATGAGAGTAGTAGAATACAACATGTACAGTTACATTTTGGATGTGTTGACCATCACGTGACACATGCCACCTGTTGAAAGAATGTTTGTTTTACGTTTAGAACTTTATTAGGTGGGGTTACTATATATATATATATATATATATACACCTTACGTCATTTAGAAAGAGGGGTTGCCGCAGCTGTTTTGCCGTGGTAGAATAATATAATATAACATAACATAACACACCTACCTCAATACAAACAACTAGGATATAGTCTAGGTAATTCCTGCGTAAAATTAATTTATAAACAATCACAAAGAGTTTGCAGAATAAGAGCTTATATCTAATTATCTAATATATGACAATTATCCCTCTAGGCACACACTACTCCCATATTCCCATTCATACCTTCAAAACATATCTCCCACTCGTTCTCCAGTGCTATTTCTTCGGTTCGCGAAGATTTCCATAAAAGCGAAACTCCGAGTTGATTTCTAATTGTGTTACCCTGATTGGTAATTCTTTGTGTCATCCTACTCCTCATCCTGCTTCGTTGTAGTGCGGGGAAGTGAGAGGTTCCAAGTTGTAGTACTCAGTCCAGACACCTATCAGCTTGCGAGGAGTTGTCATTCTAACGGAAAGTTTCTCGTAGGAGTCAGTTTCCATACAGTTTAATTAATCGGTCTTAGATGCTCGTCAGGCCTAGAGCAATTCTCTCTCAGATCACAGAGTGCAGGGGAAGGTCACAAATCTTCGCCAATTTGCTATTTAAACCACGAGTCGACCGCGGAATATCATCATTGGAATCCAACACCGTCCGATATCAATCAACGCATACGAGGCAACTTTTTAACATGGCTACGGCAAACCACATCCACTTGACTACTGAGGACACCGGAGTGTATAAACTCAAGTCCCAGAACTCGGAAACAGCCACCAAAATCTCGGAGCTATTGCAAGAGAATCATTATGTAGGATCACGCTCTCCCCTTGTGACGTTGTTTTGTAGATGTGGGTTAACAGATCCTTCATATAGAAACATCACATTTTCTTCAATGCTGAAGGATTTCACAACCATATCGTCCATCACTTGTTGACTCTGTATGGCCTTGGTGCGTCGGCATCCGTCATTGAGCGACACTATAAGAATAATGCATCATACCAGCGCCCCTTTGTTCTCTCCGGGAATCAGGTTAGTCCATACTTTGACAAGCTTGCTGTCTGAAGAGCCTTGATATTCTCAAACACTGGTCTTGTTATCTCATTGCCAAATCTTCAATTGCAGAGGGCCTGACAAATTTAGCCTCCCATCGATATGTCAACGCCAGATAATTTCAAGAACCATCTGGGTAAAGAAGATTACTACCGTGACTTTCTGGTTTTCTGGCAGCAAGAAATTGAGTCGAAAGGATGGAAGGATGTCTTGAAAGAGCACGTGTTTGCTGGCGACGCGAAAGCAGACGACATGCTCGGCAGGATGTTTGCAGGTAGGTGAAATTGGGATTGCTTACCAAAAAGAATGTTGCTTACAGTCACCAGGATTTCTTCACCCTATTATCCATCTGGGTTTCGGTATTGAGTTTAACCAGCCAGCCATTATCGCAGAAGCACTAGCACAAGCTTCTGTCCACGACGACTGGATTACTAAGTATTTTTTAGACGTTGAGAAGAATGCTCAGCCTGGAAATAAGACAATTCCACAACTCCTGGAGGAAATTAGAGTTGATAAAAAGCTGTCTACTGCTGCCGAGTGGAGTGACGGTAATAAAATTCGAGATGGCATCTTGGCTAGAGCTCCAGATGAAATGGTAAAATACGCATCTCAGTGGACCGTAGGGAAAGGCGAGCTTGAAGCCAAGACAGCCCAAATGATGAATTCTGCTGTTTACTTCACTGCCGCTGCCCAGCGCCCGCCAAAACAAGTGAGTCATACTATACTTCGAAGATAAGCATTGATTGACATTCATCCTTTCAGGTGAAATTTGACTTTTACTATATGCATTGCGTCACCAGTTCTATTTTCTTCACATCCTTCAACAAACAGGACTTTCTGTCTGAAGCTCAGAAGACCCGGCTCTTGGAGTGGAAAGGACGTATTGATCTCGCCATGTACGCATCCCGTCGTTCGGCCCAACTCCTTCTCGAAGAGATCTCGGGATATGTCCCGAAGCATCTTGAAGCTGGTGATGCGGCATGGGGCGGGATATTTCAGAGACTCTTCGAATTTGAAGATGATGGGCACGCCGTCAAATTTGTAAGAGCAGTCGCTCATGCTCAGGTTGTCAATCAAGGCTACGAAGGCGAAGATTGGGCAAAGATCAAGGATCTCATGTGGTTAAAAATAGGCAATATGATTGCTGACAGCGTTGAAGATACCGGGGCAACTGTACGCTCCTCAATTATCATTTACCCCATACATTGATGCACAATTTACTGACTTATCCAGTGGGCCAGAAATGTTGGGTTTGACGAAGCCTGGACTGATTTTGAGGACAGACCGAGACAGGAACATTTGTGAGTGAATAAGAGTTGAAAAGCTAGGATATACTTCTCTTCTCTTTTCTTGTGCTGCTATCATTGGCTTTGAGTGTTGCAGATGTTCAAGTGGAAATTTGTTTTGAGGATCGGAACTATGCTTAACAAAAGTAATACAAATACGCAACCTTTCACCTTGATCTTGACATTCTAGTCTGCTCTTCTCTATGTTATCATGCAACAAAACTGTACTCCTCACAAGCTTGAGCTTGGTATTCATTCATCGGGCTACTTGGTTTTCAAGCAGTCTTCTTCTCTAATCTAATCTGGCGAGACTATTTAAAGTATTCCGTGGTAATGATAATATTCTGATAAAATACCCTGTAAGCTCCGGTACTGGGTCAGATGGAGACTGGATGTTGAATAGCTCGTAGGTTGGTACTACACCTAGTATTTTTTTTTTTTGAGATTGAGCCCTACTAAAAGATAGTAAGGTAGTAAGGTATTAGTAATAATAGTAGCAATAGTAATAGATAGGGAGGCCTTTTGTTCATTTTTGAATTGGCCCATCGCCATTTCTATACCTCTCCGGTTGCACGTACAGCTCTTTCCTATCTGTTGCACATACAGGGTAAACAATATATACCACTCCACTATTTCCTTGAGTATAACCTCTTCAATCCTAATAAATTTGGTTACACTCCCTGACCAAGCCTACTCATGATTTAAATTAGATCTTCTCCTATTCCTTATATCCTGATTCATTGCTTTTCACTCACTCACTCTCTTGCAACTGAGATGGCGCAAATTTCCACTCCCACTTCCACTCCCACCTCAAAATCTACCTCAGCCTCAGGGACTGGTTAGTTCGAAAATGTACTCGTACTCGACCTTGAAAGACAGGAAACCGAGAAGCAGTCTATTGCTGATGTTCAATCTGTTCCAGCTCGCATCACTCGCCCTCAATCTCTCACCCATCTGGCCATCAAACAGAAATTTATCCCCACACCCCCGAACTCACATCTGAAGACCACAGAAGCTGAATTTGTTGATTTCGATGGCCCTAATGGCCCCGTAAGTCCGTTCTTGCCCACGAAATCAAGGAGCTAGTTATATTGATGTAATTCTCACTATCGACTTCTGAACTGGCCCTTCCGAAAGAAGCTAATCACTACACTTGTCTGTGGTCTGTTCACTATGACTTCGACATGGGGAAGTTGTGTATACAGTCCTGCCATTGAATAAGTAGCGACAGAGTTTGACGTTGCGCCTGAAGTTTGTGTTTCATGGATACTGTCCATTTGAACTGAAATAATATTGACGATAAACAGGTAAATTTGACGGGTGTAAGTTTCTTGTTACTCAAATTTAGATTTGGTGAGGTATCTCCATTCGCTGTTACAAAATTAATAATGAAGCTGACTGGTATCTGTGATTTAGGTCCCCTGCCATGGGCTCCTCTATCTGAAATGTGAGTACCAGAAGTCGGCTGCGAAACCTCGGGTGTTGTGCCACTTACTCCCTATTAACAACAATTTGCCTCCTTTAGCACCAAGACTGGTGACCATCTAGTTATGGTAGAAAGGCCGCAGTTTTAACCGCAGGTAAGAAAATTTATCATGCGAGGAGAAACCTTAGCAATTGAGAGCCCAATTGGCATTTCAATCCCCTGCCATTGTGAGCCAAGGCTAACATATCAAGCAGTTTTCATCTCGACATGCTTTTACTTCGCTTCCACCACAGCGAAAGACATCCAGACGCTGCTCTGGACTCGTTTCTTTGCTGGCATTTTCGGATCTGCACTTGTAAGAAACTTAATACCAGAAATCTTAAACTCTTCTGACCTCAGGAGATAGGTTACTAATACTGGCGGCGTCCTGATTGATATTTGGGCACCACAATCGCGAGGAACAGCTATAGTTGGATATGCATTTGCTATTATTAGAGGTGAATGCACGCATTTTATTAAGATACTGTTTCTCACCGCTTCAAGCTCCAACCATGGGTCCCATTGCAGGAGGAGCAACCACATGAAACTAATTGGAATGGAGATGGGGCAGAATATGTAGGTCCATAACCCTCTCAGCCACGCCCTCTATCTCTGATTCATACATACAAGGTTTCCGATATAATGCAGATGGTAGTGGTACTAGCTGGCGCCCTCTTCCTCAGCGAAACGTACTCGGACGCGCTGCTGGTCGCTAAAGCTCATCGCCTTCGTCAAGATATTGGAAACTGGGCGCTGCATTCCAGAAACAAAGAGCAAAGTTCCAGTCTTGGCGAAATGGCAAATAAATTTTTGATGCGACGCTTTCGTTTACTGGTAACCCCTATTTGTTTTCTCATGGTTTTGTATTCGTTTGCTTATGGTATCCTCTATTTGTAAGTGAGAGTCGAGGGCCACCTGTAAGTACGTACTAATGGACTTCTAGGTATCTAGCCGCGGTGCCTGTACAGTTTGGACCGGGAGGTGGTTATCGACCGGTGACATCGGAGTGAGTTAGCCCCTCAGGCGGATAATCTTTGCTAATCAGATCTTCTGCTGACGTCTTCATTAAAACAGGCTCCCTTTTCTTGCACTTCTGCTAGGCACAATCTTCAGCGGCACTGCAAATACCATGTAAGTCTTCCTGACGACTTCGCCCACCATATCTACTAAAAGACACACCACGGCAACGATAAATTCTACACCTACAGATTTGAAGCAAACGAAAATCAACCAGTCCCCAAAGATCATCTTCCACCAATGATGATCGGCAGTATATTCTTCGCTGCAGGTCTCTTCGTCTTCGGTTGGACATCCCTATCAAACATCTACTAGGAGTCTCCTTGCATTGGGCTCATGTTCATGGGATTTGGTTTTTTCACCATTTTCCAAGGCGCGCTCAACTACCTCATTGATACCTCTGCCTCTAGCGCAGCTAGTGCGGTAGCAGCTCAGACATTCGTACGAGCTATATCTGCTGCCTCATTTCCCATACTACATTGATGGGAACATTTGCCGGGAAGCATCATTAGTCGATTGAGTATAGTCTAGTAGTTTATAGATACTTGATTCATTCAAGATAGATACCTAGAAATCTTGACGGATTATGGTCGAGAGTCTGACGTCTTGTAGATGTTTGGATCATAAGTATGGACAAAGCTCGATTGCTTGTCGCAAAAGAAGAAGAGAATGCTGATGCATAAGAATAGAATACATGAAGATACCTAAACTCAATCCCAAATGTGTTCTCGTGCCGAATTTTCTCTGCTTACTCCCTCGTCTAAAGTCTATAGGTCAGCCAAATTTCCGTGAACGTGCACGCTGTCCCAGGAAACAATGATAAGATACTCAAACAGTCACATAATTCCAAAGCCAAAACCAGAGCGCTAGAGTGAAATAAATCATTGATCCCAAGGTCATAACAGTACAAACATATCAACATAACCACGCAAAGCCTATCCAAGCTTGCCCATAAACTCCAATCCAATGCGTAAGCTGTTCACAGCATATTATACATCTAAGCCCACCGTTCCTCTTGTAAAAGTCCCAATCCCCGGCCCACATCTATCGAAGCACCCTTTCAATCCCCGTCACTCGGCCTCCTCATATAGCTGTCAATCGCTAAACTAAAAGCTGCAAACCCCGCACACCCTACGGCCGCAGCTTGTGGTCCCGCCGGCGCCGCCAATACTCCTCCAGTAATACATCCCGCGATAACACCATTTTTCAAATCGTTCTTTGCTCTAAACCCTTCAACACAACATTCCGTGCCTGCGAAAATAGCGCCTACTTTGCCGAAATTTTTGGCCGAGGAATAGGAGCGGGATCCCATATCTTTGAGACCACGCTTGAGTTGTTCGCGCAGTGGGAGAGAGGTAATTTCTGCGGCGGCGGCGGACGTGTGGATCGGGGTGTCGTATTGCATCTGTGGGTGAAGTTTAGTCATTGAAGATGCCTGAGGAGGGACACGGCGAGGAACATACGGATGCCATGAAGAGACCAAAGGCGCCACCGAGGGCGAATCCCATTACACCAGAGACGACTGTCTTGCCTGGGCAGGACTCCATTATCATTTGCATCTATAACCATGATTAGTACTCGTTCAATCTATCAAACGGGGTCCAGTAGCAAGGCTCTTGTCTGCCAAAGAAACGCTGACTGTGACTGAAGAGCAAACGTACATTTTTAACAGCAGCAGCGGTCGATGGGTCAACCATTTGCTGGCCCCCTCCTGGGGGATTGAATGCTGGTCCATTCATTTTGAACGAGAGTAATTGTGATGTTCTTCGTCACGGAAGGAATTGAAGATAAAGATGAACTTTCCTTGTAGTGTAATCCGCCGAGAATTTTTTTGGCGAGGCTGATTTTTGGCCTTGCACTACAATCTGAAGCCTCGGGATATTTCTGTTTCTATTTCTCCTTTTCAAATTTCTGGAACATCTCGCGAGACGGATAATGAGTGAAAGATTTATCTAATGTGTATACTATCGAGGGTATCAGGCAGGTGGCTTGACATTATAATAATCTTTTATAAGGGATTTCCTAAAACAAAGGCAACCTGCCATTACGCCCTGGGCGTCAACGAAATTCCATTTTCCCAATGTGAACTTTAATATGAAGGCAGTATCATCGCATCATCGCTTCATAACATCCAAGGCACCTCTGACCACTATGTTTGCTGGTAGGGTCCCATCCATTTTTATTCCCATCACGATCATCCCATCCGGAGTCTTTTGCAAAATCAACACCTTTCCAGAAAAAGTCTATCTCAACCAACCCTTGATATTAGTGCGCTCCCATGATTTTCATCCAAAGTTGGAAAAATATTTCAAGATCACGAAGCTTGATATACAGTAAAGTTATTGAATTCCCAATATGCATTTGTAAAGGCCGTCGCGTTGTTAGCAACGTAATCAGTGCAAGTACCGGGACCTATTACTTGATTAGTGTCGGAAGATTGACAAGGAGATCACAAGAACCCTACAATCGATATCATATACACTCTGGGTGCCTGCCCAATTTCCACACAAATCGATGTTGACAATAATGCTTTGATTTCTGAAGTGGTTGCCAATGTTACAATCCGTGCTGGGAAAGTCCGCAGTTGCCTCCGACCAGGTCGATGGGTCCGGAGCACCAGATGAGATATCGCTTGGAATAGCATCTCGCCCAAATTGCCACATCCGTATACCCGCGGTACGTAGTTCCATCGCCATAACACCACCACCATTTGAGTTAAAATCCGCGCCGAATGTCCCAGAAGAATCATGTACACCACACCCAGCATTTCCATTCGTGCTATTCAAGCATGAAGATTGAATGGCCTTCCCAGTTTCTTTACGCTTGACATCCATGGAGCATCCGGACGTGGTATGGAGGGTCATTTGATTCTTGGTGGAGCTTACAACGTTGACAGCCTCCATGATATCGATCTCTCCATTCGCAGGCCAGTTGTTTGGATCACTTAGCCAGAGTGCAGGCCATGTCCCGCAGCCAATGGGTGTGTGGACGATATCGAAGATGAATAGACCGTCAGTGTATTGTGTCTTGGACTCAATTCGCACCGAGAAGCGACCAGTAGATGCATTTGGGATGCTGTCAGCTGTGACAGATGTGTCGACTCTGACAACAGCAGAACTTGATGAAGCATAGGTCAGATTGTATTGAGCAGCTACTGCGGAGTCAACATAATGAACGAAACCCGCTGATGGATCGTAGGTATTGAAGTAATCGAATTTATCGAAAAAGTCAGTTCCCGAGTCTTAAGTAGATGTTAGCAAACACGCAAGAATACGATCATGTCGGTGCATCTTTGTTTACACAATCCTGGAGGCAAGTGTGGAAGTATTACTACTGCCCTTGGTACTAATGAAAGAAGCCTTGCTTCTCTGAACGTCTTAAAAATGTCCCACATCGGAAGTTGTCCTCCACGAAACACACGGCGAGAAAAGACAACTTACAAGTATCCTTCAGCGAATAACTCAGTTGTGAGTAGTTTGGATAAGCATTCTTCTTTGAAGCTTCCACGGCAACCACCACCACGATGATGAACAACACAACAAGTCCCACGCCAACAATGGCCCATCGTTTCTTACTCCACGCCCTCACATCCCACCACCGTGGTGCCAAAGAACTTGGATCATCAAGTTCATATTTGGGTGGCGGGCCCCTCGGTGTATTCGGGTTTCTCATCTCTGCAATGGTATAGAATTTCTATCCAATGAATGCTTATGTCCCTTCTATTCTCAACGGTCCCTCGAATCCAAATGCGAGTTTTGAGTGAGTGTATCGTTTTAAGGGAAAGCAATCAAAAGCTATTTCATTTCGATGTGCGTGACTGGCATAGGTGACTTACAAAATTACGAGCTGTGGTTGATTGAGGACGGTAACACTCTCGTATATACCTTGCCTGAGCAGCTTATTTTTATCTTATCTAACCAACCCCAAGAATGAATGGAGACAGAAAGAATTGAAAAACACTCGCAGTATGCCGACCTAGTAGGTCTCTCCACTCTGGACTTGAGCTTAATTAGCCTGTCCACGCTTTGCTAGTAATCAGGTACCTAGAAGGGAAAGGATAGTAAGTGTTGGTGGATATGCAGGCTGACGACTCTCTTCGTGTAAACATGGGTTGACGCGGACACATGCGAACGAATGTAAGGTCATCGAGTAACAGCTAGTTGCATAGCTTAGGGAAGGATAATTCCGACGTAGATGATTCGATTTGGGAAAGAAAGAAGAACATCACTCAACCTTTGGAATATCTAGTATGCAATTGAAATGAAAGTCGATTGATCTCAAACGTGACATGTGACATGCGACATGACATGACTGTGGTCGTAACCAAGCGGAAAACCACGGAATGCTCTTTAGACCTACATTCACCCACCATTCACGGTTATGCCACCCTGGCGCTGGCGCTGTCGTTGGGGTTTCATGTTCATGATGTTAGAGAAGACGAAGATGATTTGTTTCAGCCTGTCAATCGTATAGTTTGGTTTCACCGCTTTGGTTCTGCCATTCGTCAAATCATTTTACCTACGGCAACTTTGAAACATAAGCTGGGCAGGCACGAATACCATAGGGCAGAAAAAAGGTTATCGGGGATCAAAGAACTTGTTGATCGTGTATCTTAATACTAGTAAGGGAAAGTCATTGTTATCACCGAGACGAGAGCTAGCCGCGTAATCAAAATGAACAAAATCTTAATTAGTGATATCCCTAGGTGATAACTAACCCACTGTTGTCGTAACATTTTAGCATTTTAGCATGCAATATCCGCTTATGGATCGATGAGTCTAGGGAAAAACGTGTACAGCAAAGCCTCAATATTTAAGAATAATCTTTAATTACCTAGGCAATGATAAATATCTCCTTTCCCTTCGATGCATATATACGCTTCTACTTTGCATGCCAAGGTAATTTGGTACTTTGGATATGGATAATGCAACATGTAACTGTTTTCAACCTAACATCGGTTATGATTTGGGTCAGATAGACACATGAGCACTTTGCTATGTAAAGACACACAAGATAGTACGCCATTCAATAACCCGGAAGCCCGTTTCTTAATGTGAACGCCTGGCATGCATTATACGCAGTATGTCCCCAACCTGCTGATTATCTAGAGATACAACTCCGTCCATGGATTCACGTGACCAGTCAACCCTCTAATCATCATCCTCATCCATTCTCGCCCGTTTGTGTGACCTTTCCTCGCCTTCCTGTAACCCGTACTCTCTTTTATTAGAGCTTTCACCGACCTTGTTCAGGAAATCATCAACGTTGAAAACGTCCCCAGTATCCTTCTCAAACTGCACCGGGCCCTCTCTCGCCTGTTGTCACCTAATATTAGCTTCACCCCCAGTTATGGCGAAGGACATTGCTTACCTCAACATCTGCTGCACCTTTAAAGGTCCCTTTACCAAGGGCATCACCAAATCTATTACTTTTCTGTATCTTCGCCATCTCACCTTCAGCTGCCGCCTCATCATCGTCATCATCCATATTTTGCCGTGGTCGATAAATACTGCTGATAGCATCTTGAGCCGCGAAAAGGGGTTTGTCATATGCTTGATCCTCGTTGAATCCACTATCGAAGCCACTCGTCCGGTTGAATAATCTGGAATCAAACATGGTTTCCGCTGACTGAGTAGGCTTTGCCAAGCCTAAGGCGACCTTTTCCGAAATGTCTCGATTCTGCTCTCGTGCCATCATTTGAATTCTCCTTTCAGTTCCCATGCGCGACTGTCGTAATTTTCGTTCTTCATCTCTGCGCTTTTCTTGACGCATCTTTTCTCGCTCTCTGAGTTCCTCGTCATCGCTATTGGATCGCTCAGAATCAGAATCACTGTAGCTCCCTGAACGTGACCTTGATGACCTCGAGTCTCGTCTTCTGGACCCAGCGCCGGCCCCGGCTCTCTCCTCTCGCGCCTTCTGTGCTAACATACGCAGATGATCTTCTTTTTGTGCCTTCTCCTTCTCTGCCAGCCTTTGCTGCATCAGTGCTCTCTGTTTGACCTCCTCTCGCGCATGTCTGTCTGCCGTGAAAAGAGCTTCTGCAAATTGTGCAAATTTATCATTTATAGTGACATCCTGCAGTCCCCTTCCATCTGCAGCTAATCTTTTGTCAAGTGGAACCGTGTAGCCCTTGGGGTTTTTCCAATTCGAGACCGGCGGAGGTATCTTCCAAGCTTCTTGATCCTCTGCTGTTAATTTCCGAGGGGGCGAATGCATGACTGGAGCCGGAGGACTTGGAGGACCACGGGGAATTTTCTTATGTTTGAATTTGGGAGGTTCCATAGGGTCCTGCTGCCTTTCCACAATCTTCATAATTCGATCATTCTTCCTCGAATTATCGCCCATTTGATTCGCAGGCGTATATCTGACGTAGGTTGGATCTTTTCTCGCCCCAACATTGACGTTCTTGGGTTTCTGCGCAGCTACCGCACCACTGACCAGAGTTGCCAAGGCATTCTTTGTCCGTTCTGTAGAAGCTGCAACTTCCTCCTCACTCGGTCTATCTAAATTAATATCTCCCGCATCAGCTCGTTGCCGAAGGGGTATAAGATCCTTGAAAGATGCGTGTACTATTCGTTTGTCGTTGTGGCCTTGTCGTGCTATCGCATCGTACTTGACCTTCCCCTCGCCATCAACTTGAAGGGCTAGCGCATTATTTGATGAAGTAGATTTACGTCCCATATCCAATGGATACTGTGCGACGGGAATCTCTGGAAAAGCACCCCCATCACCAAAGTCTTCCTGTCCTCGGGGCCGCCATCCTGTTCGATTACCGTATGGTGGAGGTCCAGTCTTCTGCAAAGTCTTGTTAGAAAAGTATCCCATTGCTAAAAATCCAAATGACTAACCTTTAAAACAATTTGGGTGTCGTCCAGAGCGCCTGCGCCCAAGATTCGAGGACCTCTCTGCTGCGCATGCTGTGGAATCTCCTCTTTTTCACCTGTGTATTTGGGTTTTGGCAATGCCCGTGTTAAAGACGTTGCCATTGAGGCGATGCTATGCAGACAATTAGAATGCAGGTGTTTTGGAGTGATTTGAGGATGGAAACACGAGATTGAATTAGTTTTAAAGTTGCTTTTGCCTGCGTATCATGAAATCGATAAATGTTCAAATTGTCGTGATTCTCATCCATGTTACGTCAAGCTAACTAAAGAAGTACTAGCGTATTTGGAGCATAGCACAGCAGCTTAAGCTCCGAGGCAGGCAAACTGCAGGTCATGAAATGATTTATAGAGGAGAATGCAACTCGATGAATTGACAAGACAAGTATCTAATTAGAGCAGCTGGTATATTACATTGTTATAATTCTTACATTTTTATATCTTTATATTGCTTCATGAAAAAGTGAATCATTTCATTATCTGACTGTCGTGTGTTTGTATCACTTATGATTGTATGAGCTTTTGGAGAACATGCATAATCAATTTTATCCATGCCATGGTTGTGATGAACACGGAGATGGAGTAACACGTTTAATTAACTCAAATTTGAGCATGTTGAGCATCATTTTGTTAAGTGTATAGTACAGAGACGCGCTCGGGAATCGAACACATTTCAATCATCTTCGCTCCCTTCCCATACCGAATTCGTTCACACATAGCCTTTCCTGGCTCCCTAATCCCTCCCGTTAGAACATGTAGAGGTATATGGAAGCTAACAGTACGCACCTGGAAGAAGAACCGAACAATAAAGACTTGTAAGGCCGCCATACACATCATCATCAAGCTTTCAATCACACTGAAATTAAAGATCCTCCTTTCCGTACTCCTCACTGTGCTGAAGTTTCTGTTTTCTCTTGTGCGGAAGTATTTCTGGTTTCTCGTAATGGTAGATAGCTGGCCCGAAAGTTTGAAGATAGACTCTTCCAGCGCGGAAGTCTGCTCGGGAGTTGTGCCTTGTTTTGAGGGTATGGAAGCTCGAGGCTCATTCTCAACCTATGACAGTGATAGTCAGTACCGCCCTGTGTTGATAGCTCGTGAAGGACAAAACCTACAGCAATTTCAAAGTCGACAAACTTTTCCGAGAATGTACTCATTTGATTGTTGAAGCAAAATCTGTATTCTCCCACCTCCGTGGCTGTGAAGACGAAATCGCCCTGTCGCTCCTTTTCTTCCTTCATGATAACTCTCTCATTTGGACCCACGACCTCATAATCCACATCAAAAGAGCCTCCAGCTTGAACCTGTAAGATATAATATGTCAGAGACGTTTATGCGAATATCGGAAGTGAGATGCATCGTACAGCGAAGTAGAAAGCTATTTTGGCTCCTTGTTTGTCAACATTGGAGTAAAAGCATGCCTTTTCATTGGCGCTAAGCTTATATGTGAGTGCAGTCGCAGATACAAGAGGAGAAATGCATGCCAAAAGGCCGCACCAAATTAAAGACGGCTTCATGGTCTGTTGTGTGGTTGTGATGGTGGTGAACCTTTTACTGAACGCGCTTTTTGGAGATTGTTGCTATCTGGCAGTCGGGTGATCCTCGGGTCATTAGATCTAGCGAGTTAGCTCCTCCCTTACACCCATCATATCAGGGGTTGCTGCGTCTTTTTCAATCAACTCATGTCACTGTTGTATAATTTTAAGTCTGTTTTGGAAGGCTATTTGGAAGATCTTAGTGGAATAAGCATCTGGCCGCTGATTATTTAGGTTACAAAGTAGCTAACGTCATACTAGAAGAATGTCTGCATCAAAGGCACCATGGTCTTTCCATCGTCCTCGATCATCTAATCGCTAAAATGAAGTTTTTTGGCGACTGATTATGTTGCACAGAAGAAATTGACTTCCCTATCATGCCCCATTGTCTACATAAGACCGTTGCCTATTTTCCCACCAACCGATAGCGCCATGCAGAAAACCTCACAAAAGCAATGCCAAAATCTACTTCAAAAATAAGTCTCCCATGCCAGTCCTTGCGTTTCGAATTTTGTCAATATGGTCTAGGCCGAGCTGATCATCATCATCCCGAAGCATATCCCATAATGTATCGTCTGTGAGATGCTTAGTACAGTCATATAAGTCTCTTATGGGTCACAACTTTACCATCATTTAAATATGTGGGTTTTGTGTAAGAGCTCCTCTTCACGACAGCAAATTTTATCTTATCGAGGTTTTTGCCTTTTATCCCCGTCCGTTTTTCCAATCGCTTTTTGGTGTCGGAAAATATTTCATTCTGATGGTTGTCAGCTGTGAGACACCTTATTAAATAGAGAAAAAGACTTACTTGAACGATGAGGAATTTAAATGGGATGGAATGCACTTTACTTGGCTCGCTCTGAAAATGAAATGCATAGATATATTGACTTCCGTTAGGTTGCGCTAATTCTTCTTCCGGTATCCGCTCTAGCATAATGTTAATGTACTCCGTGATATCCTTGACTGGGTAACCACGAGGAAGCTCTTTGTGAATCTTGTTGCTGTGTATTTCGTATGCTCGGATCGGACCACCTTTTTCTTCGTCTTCCAATTGGGCTTTCTTGATCACGGATGAAATTATGTCATCCACAGTTCCAGTTTTAGGCACAAGTATGTCGAGTTGTTCCTGTAATCAGTTAATACCTCAAAATAGTGAAAAAAAATCGGCGCAATACGCTTACCTCTTTTGTGACACCCTCGCTGATCCAGCTAACCTTCATAGATTTCTTGGTATCTAGCTCAGCCAGGCTAATATCAAGAACCTCGAAATATAAAGCGTCTGCTCTTATAGTAGCGCCAGCAAACGTAGCGTAACTAGTACTGACCATAGTGTGTAAAGTTTGATTTGACATCCGCCTGATCGCTGTTTTGGGATTGCCCGTATTTTGAGCGATGGTCCAGAATCTGATATAATTCGGATCAACATCCAGCTTCTCTCCTACCTTCGCGGCCACCTGATCATAAGTATGCTTTGCACTGAGTACCAGGGTAAATGACTCGCAATTTTCGGAATTAAATTCTTTGCTACCTTTAGTTGGATGGCAGTGGAATGTAATGAGCCTTCTATGACGCAGGAAATCGTAGTACTGTCGGGCATCTTCTATGATATCAGATGTTTTAACAGGCTGGTAGCGCGGAACCGAGCCGTTGGAAGGGGTTTCCGAGGAATGGCCTATGGAGGTGGTCGATTTTGAGAGATTACTGCTACAGCTGCAGTTAGCTTTCTTGTACCTTTTCTTATATACCGATCGAGACACTCACTCAGGGCTTCCACCTCGGCCAGTTCCGCTTTCAGAACTCTTTTCCAAAGCTTTTTGGAAGCAGACGATATCGCCATCCTGGAGTTCTGCTGCCTTAAGTGATTGTTTCGCTTTCATAGGTTCAATCATGTCAGGTTTTATCTCCTATTGTCATGTCAGGAACAGATAATAAAATGTTCAGTATCACGAATCTTACCTCGTATAGTTTCAGTTTGGTATCCTCTGGCCATCCCATGCGTCTTAGAATGAACGGAGCTAATTCCTCAACTCTCCTTTGATTACTGATATAAATGTGACCGCACCCAACTAGAGACTGGGCATCAACATTGAACCATTTAAGAAATATGACAATTTCATCAGATCTGTTAGGGGACGATCCTTCTTTTGCCAACTGATGCGTTGCCCACACTGCATCACCGTTGGAGTCGACTGTTTCTGCTGTTTCAGCCCACAGTCGTAACTCTTGTGTTTTACTACCGGCTAATTTCAAATGCGCATCTTCAATGGTTTGATTGAAGTCCATGACAGGCGTGTCCGGTCTTGTTGTTTTATTTTGGCGGTTGACCATAAACCAGACTCGTAACCTTCTTGGGTCAACTCCAGTATCCTGACCAATTACATCGATAAGCTCTTTAATCGTGCACTTTTTGAGGAGTTTGTAGGATTTAGCAGCCGCAGGATCCTCCTCATGACTCCGGTCAAACATAGTGAGATCATGCCCACCATGAGCTGCATACGTTTCACTGGTGATCACTCTGACGGTAAGATACAGGTGTTGTTCTTCACGTTCCTTCCGTCGGGCTTCTTTGAAAGCAGCCTCCTCTTCAAGTTTTCTTTCTGGTCGACATTAGTTGAGCTTCAAGCAGGATAGGATGTCGTAACTTACGAAGATGAGCCGGTGTATCGGCATTGGTGACAGGGAACAACACCTCATCGAGCCTTGCTTCACGAATATAAACAAGCATGTATGCGCTGTTATGTCGTATGATAGGCTTTTGCGAAGCGTCCAAAACTTGACCGTTCAGTAGGGGCATCTCCCCTCCATAATTGTCCTCCAGGACTTCTCGCATCGTGGCTTTGGTTACTTTGTCATCATCGTATTTGTAAAACCATCCATCTTTTTCCGGCTTGATGAATGCATAATAATGCCCTGCATTGAGGTCTCCGCTGTGTACAAGGACCCCGTGCAACTTATATACCCAAGATTCCGATTTGTCGGCATCATCCGATAGATATGGTGCGGCATCAAAAGTTTCTGGAAACTCATAACGATCATTAACCTTCATCATGGAGTCTCTCTCAATGTCATACTCGAATCTTTTGAGCTGCAAATGCAGAACTTCGGGAAACGATTCGAAAATGACGCCTTTCTTCGCATCTTGGAGTTTGAAATTTTCACCTGCGAAATACTGGTTGTCGCCATCCATGGTCTCAACCTGAATATAATCCTGGAAACTCTCTTCGATGTTCTTGTTGCCGCTAACATTCAACTGGACATCCCAAAAGTCTTCTACTCTGCGAGATTCGTAGTCGACATTAATGCAGGAGATGTACGTTCGCACTTTTCCACAGAACAATTTAGGAAGGACGTTTTCAGCGGCAGTTCCCTTCATCTTTATTTCCATGCGCTCCATCAATTTCCTAGAAAGCTCTTGGACATCTTGCTGTTCAAAAATCTGTTTCGTATCCCAGCCAAAGGACTTGGTGAGCTCGTTAGTACTCACGGCCGTGGAGGAGGATTGCAGCTGATAGAAAAGACGTTGTAAAGTATATGCGCTGTTTGTCGTGGTGTCCTCGTCCTGCGTCGGAATTTGATATACTGCCTATCGGGTGTTAATAAATATATATATTTTTTTTCATGGTAGCCAGTCCACAATACGCACCTTTCGGAAAGCATTAGTAAAATACAGGGACTGAATGAGCGAGTTTAAATAACAGGTCGCTCCCTGATTTTTCAACCCAACAAATCCAGTTTCTTTCTTCGAATCGTAGTTGGCGAAGTTATGCCATAAAACGCCAGTTTCGTCTTCGACTACTCTTACATACGCCGTTATATTTGCTTCTCCATTCTCAACCAGAACCCTTGGAGGACTAGAGCCGGGCCATACATGGTGGAAAAGCTTGCGGGTTTCATGGAATCGCGTAAAGCCCCAGTCCCCTTCATCTTTGGTAAATCGATGATGTGCCGTATGATGAGTGTAGAGTGTTGGATCATTCTTGTTCCATAAAACGAGGCCGAATTGTAAGCAACAAACAAAATCGTCCGGAGGCTTTCCGTCTTCAAATCCATGCTCCAAGTAGAAGGACACGTTATCGGTATTATTCCCATAGGGAAACATTAGGATACGCCTAACCTGATCAGCACTCATTGCGCATTTGCATTGTGTATTCCAGATGGTTACCATGGATATCCTCCAGCCTCAAAAATAGGACCATGTTCCCTTTTGGCAAGTCCATGCCAGTTTTTAATCTCCCAAGTATTGTGAACCGTCTCTAATATCGGAGGCTGTTGATCTAAAGGTGGCAATACCAGCTCTGCCATAGCTTCATCTATTATGCACACGTTAGCTCAGTGTCCTGAACCTTCCATGGTTGATTGCTCGTACAATCATCAGCAGGCGTTGGCCTTGGTTCATCCGGATCTATGATGGCAATATCATCCTTCTCGTTATCCGACGGGTCGACATACTCGTCAGGATCGACAATCATATTCTCGGGTGACTGTATGTCCTGATCGAAAGACTGCTTGCGTCAGTAGAAATCAGTACGAGGAGCAATTTTGGCGCAGGCAGTGCTTGCTAGGTGAAATAGATATGGGATATCGAAATCATGGGAGGGGTGGGTGGAGGTGGGGAACACTCAAGAATCTTTGCTTACAGGATCCATGGTCGCGGTAGACAGAAAGTACAACCAGCTGCCAGACTTTCCAATGTCCTTCCCAGGTGTACAAGACAAATAGGAAAGAAATGCAAGAGAAGAAAAGGAAAGAAAAGAGGAAGGAAGGAAGAAAGTAAAAAAATATGGCGGTTCAGAGCCGAGCAAAATGAGGAGAAGGAAAGAGAGGGTGTGTGTTTAAAGCGATGGTCCAGCAAGTTTTGTACACTTTGAAATGGATGGATTCAATGGAGAATGGCTTCTGAATCTGTGGTGCGAGATGGGAACGTTCAATGTTGGGTTGTGTTTTTGATGGTAGTCGCGGCGGGAAAGTAGTAAATATCTAGGTAGTAAGGAAGTAAGATAGTAAGATAGTAAAACAGTAAAAGTATTCTAGTTAAAAGCAGGTAGGTCGGTAGGTACTAGGTAGGTAGGTACTAGGTAGCTATTACTCTTTGCGTCGTTCTTTCCAAATTGCCAATGCAAGCTTGAGTGGATTCTTGAATGTGGGTTGAGAATCGCTTGTGGTCACAATGAAGTAACCCAGTAATGACGTTTGGTTTTTGGCTGACGATTGATTGATGATGGGATGGGATTCTGATGTCTGATAACTTTATCATGAATACTCGATATTTATTATTGTTTGTCTAGATTTCCTCGGATTCTGATCCTTGATAACTTTGAGTACTCGATGTTTAATATTATTACTATCATCATTATTGTTTGGTTATACACTTCGAGTACATACAGAATGGCCTCATGCGCATTAGTCTTCAAGGACAAAAAGTCATCGAGATGATTCACCCTGTGAGTATAACAATGTTAGAATCTCATAAATTTAATCACATCTTTATATCTGCTCGAGTATAAAGTTCTAATGACTCTGACCAATTTCTTCTCTTCCTACCAGGTTAAATATGGCTGAGTAGTGCTAGACTTTGTAGGCCCGACGCCGTAATAAACACCACATATATACCTAGGTGGGCATATAGATGTGTATATATATATGTAACTTAATATTCGCAATGGCTATGAGAATGCGAAAAAAAAAGACATACAATCTTGTCTGTTGCACCACTAAAGGCGATAGAATGAAATATTCAATAATATGACCTACGTTGAATACCTCTTCATCCGCAGTCCTCGAAGCAATCCTTCCCCCATGAGCGAGAGCTGGATGCATAGAATCAAGCCACAAATGAAACAAATACTACATGCTTTAATATTTGCAAGATAAAGGGTTTGGGTGTTAACCTTTACAAAATGACACAATGAAATAGTGATAATTTTACTCTGTTCGCTGATGGAGAAGCTACTATAGATTGGCAATGTATATATACCCAAGTATCCAGGTAGACCTCTCAAACATTTATACCAAGTCAAAGTATATGATATATAAACATTATATTATGATTTACCCAGCTCTCCTATGAAATATAAACATTATATCTGCCCAGCTATTACATGGTATCATGTGAAGTTCCCCAACTTCAAAAAGCAAGAATAAAAGCAATGGATATATGGACGCTCCAAATTACAAATTACAACGAAGAATCTCTCCTTAGATAATGCCCCCGGCCTCCTTGCACCCACGATATTACAACTTTCAAAAGACGTTAAGGATCCTGCCGCCATTTTGACTCTTCTAGTCAGACTTTGGAACATCATCCCCAGAGTATTTAACTGTAAAACCACTTTCCAATTCTTCACCCTTTCCTCCGTATTCCTTGGGCAACTTCTCGGCAATACCAGGAATTTCAGCACCAAGATCGGAACCATAGCTGAGAGGATGGAATTTTTTGATCGTGTCGGCGCTCAAAAAGATCTTCATAGCTGTGAATACCCAACCCATGACCATGGGAACATTTACGAAGAACTTTTCTTTCAATAGCTCAGGATAGGCCATGCTGAATGTCTGGATTGTCTCTTTGGATGCAGCACGGATACCTGGGTCCATTCGTAGGAAACTGACATTGAGATAATCGTGGACCTGGATCATACGATATGGATCAGGACCGTTTTCGGGAATCTTTTCTGTTGCTGAGGCAAGATCTAACTCTCTGATGGACAGTTCCATAAGAGCTGCTCTCCATCTCAGAAATCTAAGTCGCAAGATCAATACAATGTCAACACCACAGCTCATAGGTTACTCACTCAGGCACGTCACTGAAAGTCTTCTTGGTATCCTTCACTGCCCCGTAGATGTTCCATGTGATGACTTCTTTGCCGCCTTCGCTAGTAGGATAGGACGTTACATATCCCAATTTACCGAACTTGACTTTATCAAACTCAGTATCCACCAAGAGCTTTTGTGGTTGCATAGCCTTTCGCCACTTTAGAGCCTCGGTCAATTGAGCTTTGGCTTTAGTAACATCTTTTGTGTTCGCTCGCAAGAATTTCTCGAGTACTATACTTGTTTGAACGTGATCTTCCGATGGATCAAGTATAATGCCCCACATCTCATTGTGCCCAGCTACTTTGAGGATTTCCGGCAATTCTGAGAAGAATTTAGACAAGGGGGAGCCATCATGTGTTTTAGTAGTCTTGTCGAACGAGACTGAGGGTTGGGAGGTTGAGAGCGCTTTCTCCCCATCGGCATCTTCTGTAGATTCTACTCTGGCGGCAGCTTCCGCATCGGCTTCTTTAACAGATTCTAGCTTGACGGCCGTCTCTTGGTGTTGTTCCGTAGTGGGTTCTGCGGCCACTGATTTAGTTGTTGATGGCTCCGTAATTGTAGGTTTTGGTTCTTCACGCGCTATTTGTTCATTTGACGTTGGATCTCCAATCTTTACCGGTGTTGACTCTATTGTTGTGGATTTTAGGTCCTCGACGATCAATGGTTCTGGCTCCATGGTTGTAGTTGTAGTTGTAGTTTTTGCTTCAACAACCTCCTCTGGGACATTCTCCTTCGGGATGTTTGTATCGACCTCGGCACTCATTCTTGTGTTCGGGTTCGTCATACAAAAACGAATAATTTAATCAGTACAGGATTAAAAGGTCGTCGCTGCCACCGTCTTTCTGTTCGTTTTATTAATCTTTCTGGCAGGAGCATTGATTGATTGGTCTATGATTTATTTGTCCGCCCACCTACCTACGGAGTACTCGAGGGGAACTCCACAACATTAAATATTTTGTTAAGTTCCGACTCACCGACGCTAGTAGATCAAGCCAATCAACACGAGGCTGAGCTTCAATGCAAGATCTTGGTAGTATCGTAGTAGATAGATAGTAGTAGATAGATAGATAGAGAGGTAGAGAGATAGACCGATAGACAGATAGACCGATAGACCGATAGACAGATAGACAGATAGACAGATAGATATGAGACTTAACTTTTCAAGAGAATAACCAACCCAACCAGTATCGGTGCATCATATACTTTTCGGTCCACCATCCAACCTCTTTATTAATTTCTTTTCTTCTTTTTCTTCTCTTTCCTCCTCTTCCTTCTGCTCTTTCTCTTAAACGATACGATGACGAATGTTTTCAATATCCATTCGGAGTTTTGCTATACCACTTTTCTTCTGGAGCTAAAATTGAATCCTTGTTTATAGGTCTCTGATGCATCAAAATGTACAACACGATAATGAGGTGGCTGGGACAAATATAATATATCTTGCAGCCTCATATACCCACACCAGTATGTAGGTAGCTAGCTGCATGAAACGGTATATTTCCACATTCACTTCCGTTGAAAGGTACCTACTTACCCATATATATTTTTCCCTTCATTTGACAACATTTTGAACGCACAACGGTAGCTACCCTTCAGCGACAATTCGGAGCTCTTCTTGGCAATCGTCTCCAGCCTTCAAATAGATCGATCACTGATCTAAGCTGTTGTGGGACAGTAATAATTGTCCTTCTGCAACTCGCCTTTCGTCTCGTCTAATCTTGGAGATGTTTCCCAAACTTATTCTCACCGCTGCAACAGCATTATTGTCTGCTAAAACAACCTTTGCACAGACTTACAGTTCTTGTAATCCATTATTCACCAGTGAGTGGCCTCATCTCCTTACTTTGGTGAAAAGTCTCAACTAACCTCACACCAGCCAGTTGTCCCGCGGATACTGCCTTGGGAAAGTCTATTGCTGTCGACTTCACTTCTGGATCAGTAGATGCCTTCACTGGCTCCGGTGATATCACATATGGCTCCAATGGCGCGTCCTTCACAGTATCCAAATCAGGCGATGCACCGACCCTTTCCAGTATCTTCTACATCATGTTTGGAAAGGTGCAGATCACAATGAAGGCAGCTCCTGGTGCCGGTATTGTTAGCACATTGGTACTGCAATCAGACGACTTGGATGAAATTGATATGGAATGGCTTGGAGCGGATGATACCGAAGTACAGACGAATTATTTCGGCAAAGGCAAGGTCACAGATTACAATCGTGGAGCTTTCAATCCCGCTCCAAATAACCAAGGTGAATTCGTCACTTATACTATCGAATGGACTTCAGAACAGCTCGTTTGGTCGGTAGGTTCTACCGTCGTCAGAGTTCTTACACCAGCCACAGCCGACGCCGATCAGTACCCGCAATCACCAATGCAAATCAAGTTCGGTGCATGGTCTGGAGGAGATTCATCGAATGCCCCGGGTACAATTTCATGGGCGCGTGGTCCAACCGATTACTCTGATGGACCTTTTACTATGGTTGTCCAGTCGATTGACGTCAGTGATTATTCCACCGGTACACAATATAGATACGGAGACGAATCTGGAAGCTGGACATCAATTGAAGCTGTAGGCGGATCAGTAAATGGAAATGTGCCAGCCTCAGCTTCAGTTGTACAAACTGCTGGTGCTGCAGCTGTCACATCCAGCTCCCCAACTATTCCAGCCGGTATTAATAATGGTAACTCGGCCACCCGAACTGGGTGGCCTTGGGTTGCCGGGACGCGAACCGTATCAGAAGTGACGTGGAGTACTGGGCCAAGCATTCCCTCAGGTTGGGAAATATCCTCTACTGGGAAAATTGTCCCTGTGAGTGCTTCACCTATAAGTATGTGTCGCCCTCTCATATTTCCTATGCTCCTCAAATACTGATTTGACTACTAGACATCCGCAGGATCAACCCCCTCCTATTATGCGGGCCCTTCGCCTTCTTCTTTTTCGCTGCAATCAGGAGATGGCCTTGAAACGATCACGGGCTGGGATTCAAGAGGATTTGCTGTAACGAGCACGGTTTTTGTAAGATGCAGCACGACAAAAAGCTACAATCAGTAAGGGTTTCTGGTAACAGGAACAGCGGCTTGTACGACTGGGATTGGCCAAGGAGGCCTCGGTATGAATGCTCCAGGTGTCATCGGCGGGAAAGTAAAAAGCACAAACGATGCTGCAAATGGCCGAAAAGTCTTGCCTACAGTGTTCGGCATAGTGGCCGCAGCCGTTGGGGGTTTGTGGGTTTGGCCGAAAATCAATACGCTATATGGGTTTATGAATAGATTTGGATTAGAAGGAAAATGGAGTCTATGTGATATATTACGGTTTGATAATGGATGGGATCGGTTATTTAAACTCTAACGGGAATATTCCTCTGAGAGAGAGCTGGCTGTGTGAATGCACATAAAAGGGAGCAAGTTAATAATGGATATTGATGAAGAAGAATCTAGGTTCTAATGATGAGGACAAGGATGGATAACCATGACTGTATATATATCTCTCTGCCTTGGATCTCCATGATTGTTAGAGCATACATGTCATCATGTCCCCTGTAAAAAAAAATTCCATGATATGTATGTTCTAGTAAATTGAGATGAGTTTATTCAGTCAAACAGAGGGGCCATTGTGAATGGTTACGGTACATGACAAAGTTTGGATCTCAGGACTAATTTGCATATTGTGAATCTCGAGAGAAAAATCCACTTAATTTAGCGTGCGGAGGGGTATACTAAAATGAAAGATAACAGTTTAATGAAAGAGGAGTCTAGTGACTGTGAGCAATGAAAAGAGATCTCCTTAGAAATCTGAGAAGGACTCGTTCTGTTTTGTATCTTAGAAAAGGGGTTTGATTAATCGAGGAAAACAAGGGAGGATATAGGGTGCAGGGAGTGGGAGATGGATAGCGGTCCTAGTTTGCGAGGGAAAATGGAAAAAGGTATGGAAAAGTCAATGGGAGCATGTTTTAACATTGTCTATTACGCGAAAGGGAAAAAGGGGTAATCCATGAATGTAAGCAACCATGCTCTTATGATCTGATCGGATATATAATTGAGACATAGAGGAGTGAATTTTAGGTCTATCAACAAGATATCTAGCACCTAAGTTATCTGCAAGATACGTAACTCCACTTTCTTTCTCTAGATACAGGAGATTGCCCCTTGAGATGTTGGATTCCTTTCAGCTTATACAGCATTCAACATCCAGAAAGCAATGACAATTAGGACTGTGAATGACTAATGTCAGATGCTTATGTTGCACATCTAATGCTTGTACGGCAATATTCATCTAGCACTTACAGCCCACCTTTTGGCTTTTTGCTAGCTTGAGACCAGCAGCTGGTCTCAAGCTGGATCATGCACTATGGTAATTTAACAGTAGTGCGCCAATGAGAGTTCATTGGATAGATTGTGCAAATGAAAGTTACTGTGCATAGGGATAGTACCAAATAACAGGCAGCCTTTCGGAGCGCTTGGACTCCTGGGGAGGATGAAAGGGATGTGACTTAGTGCCAGTCCTGATATGGAGCAAAGAATACTCATTTTTCATACACTAGTATATTCGGTTATGTGAACACTTCATTTATCTGAAGTCAAAGTATCGATGAAATGCTAAGAGATTTTATGTGAGGAATATATTGCTCGACAATTGCTCGACCAAAGAAAGTACATGTCCAAGGATGAAGTTGTATGCAATAAAACCAGATGAGGACAAGAGATATGTGTGGTTTCATACAATGCCAGCAAAGACAAAAGGTGCGACAGTAAACCTGTTACGCAGCGATTACTGGTGCAGACAGAATCAAATCACAACAAAATACTCAGTGAATGAATGGCAGAGAAATATGGAGAGTAATAGATGACAGTCACACTAAAAACTTTAGGCGGATTCTGAGGTTGAGAATGCGGAAGAGTGATCGATGTGTAATAAGAAGCCATGGTAGGAAACATATTCTAAAGTATCGCGGAAAGCTACCATGTACAACTAATATGTAACTGTAAAGAGATTTTGAGGAGCAACACTGAGAATGTCTTGTGCCTGGCTGGGCATTCTTTGAACTCTGATCGTGTGGGTGTCACGTGATTTTGGTCATTGGAAGTTCCCTGTTACCCATCCCCTTTCTTCCTTCGCTTTTCAATCTCTTTCTAGGAACAAAAGCGGAATGATTATAGTATCTCAACAGCCCCATTGATCAATGAACAATAAGGCTTTGCTTATCAGAACAGAAACTTCACATTAATATGTTCAAGTATTTACCTTTAAGCTCTGGCTTCCCGCATCCGGGCACCTATTCTTTCATGGTTTCGCGGATCAAGCATGAACGAAGTCAAAGGCAGACAAAGAGCTTCAATATCAAACTTTGTCAATAGTCGCATGCGTAGAGAATATTGTCTCATACCTGAAATTACAGAAACTTGACAGCTCTCATTTCTTCTCCTGAACAATTTCTACCTGCAAATATCAAGATGCCTCCGCCGGGAGAGTATATAGATCGGGCAGACCGCGTGGCTAACGCTCAACTGGAATGGGATGAGTGTCTAAAGATCAGAAGAAGCAGACTCAAATTCATCACCGAAAAAGCCACCAACGACGATGGCTACGACTACATCAGGAAAGGACAAGATTATGCCACAGGGGAGGCAGAGTTGGAGAAAATTTTGATTCTCTCTGGTGAAGGTTCACACAGACAAAAAGCACAAAGCTATGCGATATCAACAAAAGAATCTTGGTTTTCTGGCAAAGACATACTTGGCAAGGGGTCCCCAAGAGATACTATAGGACTTTTGGGACTAGTAGCCGCCGCCAATGTTGGCGATAAATTCATAGAGCGTTATTTTGATGATTTAACGACCAACGATGGTGCATGGCTCCATAAAAGTCGATTTGAAGGCCACAAGGCGGACTATCCTCTGTGGACGGCGCAAAAAGACGAAACCTCATTGAAGCTTCAACAATTCCATGCCATGGTGGATGCGCTCGCGAAAAATCCAGATTCACCGAGACTCTGGAAGCACCTTAATGCGACGTTTCGTCTCAATGGCTATTTGATGAAAATTCTGAGATTCCTCGATGAGCACAATGCTCACCTGGAGGGCCAAGTCGCATTGCCGGATGGTTCAAATATAAGCGAACCTCGAGTAAGGGCAGCCTGGGCACTACATAGGGCATGGGTAAGATTGCTCCACTTTCGGTCTTTAAGCTTGGGATCGCTGCCTCGTGGAGTAGATCAGCTTAAAAACATTCTCGTTATTGCTAGAGCACAGTTGGAGGAGGAGATCCGTGGCGCCCCTTCTGATAGCAGAGATATTCTTGAAGCACTTTTAGGGTTCGAAACTACATTGCAGACTCTGACCCTATTCTTGAAAGCACTAGCAACTGAGTTTGGCGAGTATGCTGTTCCAAAACCAGGCGCTCAAAGACCTTATAGTGTATCAGATTTCAACATAGATTCTGATCGTGTAAGCGCGTCGTGGAATCAGGTAAGTATCGTAATTACTATCCGATGATAATGAATGCCACTGACCGGAAGTCAAATAGATCACCCCGGTCTTACGACCCGATCCACTAGGCAAAGTTAATAATCCACTTTCGCATATGCTCTTGTGGTCACAATTACTTGATCGTGCTACCGACTTTGAGGACAAGAACAATAGGTACTATGTCGAAGATCATCTTATCGATAATCGCATCCTTGCTGAAGATGAATACTGGGAGTTGACGAAAATGTTATCTCAAAGGGGTTACGACCCTAATGTTATAAAATCTCGTCTGCCCGATGCTGCACAAGAACGATACGTGAGGGCACTAGCGAGAAAGGTCTCGCAGGTTAATGTAAACAGGCGCAACTTTCTGCTCTTACGAGATTGGTCCAAGAAACGGCCATGGTAAGTTACATCGTAGCCTTTCATATTTCGTCTTTCAAGGCAGCTGCTGATATCGAAAGGAAACAACTATATTGGGTGTTCGATACCGTTACGACGGATTCCTGGCGTGAACTCATTGACGACTTTTACAACACTATTGAATTACTCAAATGCGTACCCACAGAGCTCGATGACGAATTAGAAGCATCAAATATGAGAGCAGGAATAGTGGCCGATCCAGAGTCTGAAGCAAATTTGTTTGCAAACGTTTTCCCCATTCACCCACTTCCCAGTCATGACCCATGTAAATACGCTGGTGCTTATTTTGGTAATTGCTTATATTGCCTGGAAGACTACGCACCTAGAGAGCTGTGGTTGCGCTTTTTCTGTGATCATATGGTGCATTACGATTGTGGTCGTGAGGCAGTAAGTGATCTTCATATTTACCCCCCCTTTTCTAGAGAAATGGGTGAACGCTAACATCGCATTTTTAGTGGGATAACCCAGGAAACCCAGATTTTAGATGTCCTCTTTGTAGGCAAACACAGTCATGGCAGCTCCACCAGGTTGCAGGAATTATTCCGGAGGCCCTAGACTTATGGGATAATGTCGACCTTGTGGACGCAGACGAAGTTGCTATTCACCCTATCGTTCAAATGGCGGGTACTCCCGCTGATACAGAAGGTTTTAAAGAACTGTACTGGGATAGTGAGGCTGCGCATTTAAATGCGAGTGAAGCGGTAGGTCTCAAGCTTGAAGATAAGGAAGCTTTAATGAAGGCTAATCCAAGGATAGTGGGATATTCATTACTACGGCTTGCCAAGAAGCCTTCACCACGAGATGGCACAAATGAGAAATGCAAGAAGAAAGCGCGTTTTAGCTGCAAGACTTGCGAGAGCTGAGAAAGAGAGAGAATTTCCCACATTAGCAGACTAGTCAGATCAAGCAATCTCTTGCCCTCTTCTATGGCAATCGCATTGATGATAGGGACGGAGTATGTGCTTTTGCTTCTTTTTCCTTGGACTGGTAGACTCATTGGTCGTAATGTTCGCTTTCGTGGTACTATATATCACTCATCTGGAGGATTCACTTTCGGTGTACATCTGATTGGTCAATGAATTGTCTGGAATGCGGTGCTGTTTGTTTTGCTGTTGAGAACATACTTGATACTTATCCCCTAGTAATGCTTATTGTGTCATTACATCACAGATAGCTCTGCTGTGTTTAACTGACTACGCGTGCCTCAAACTCTTAGTCTCTGAGATTAGATAGATCAAATCGAAGGTGTATTTTAAATGTTTATACCGAGTTTAACAAATGAGCTTGTATTCGTGTCAGAATGTATATTGGGCTAAAGCAATATTTTAACACCAAATCTACGAGTCTTCAAGAAGAAATGCTTAACTGCTACATCTTCCTTTCACGAATTGCTACCTTAAAATTCGCAGGTCCAACGTCCCAATGACAAATATATTTGATAAAGTAACTGCGTATCAAGGACTAAAATGTAATCCTAATAACTATTCATCATCCAAAATATCCGGAAGCAATCACACGGGACAATATTCAAAAAACACTTGCAAAATTGGGGTCAAAAAAAAAGAGGGTGTCTTCTATACAGCGTAGCAAAACGAAGAATATGAAACTAAATTGATAATAGTATTTTGAGAACAGCAATATTTTGAACACAATGATGTGGAGAAATGTTTTTCATAACTTATCGAAGAATTCGAAGACGTCGGTCAGTGGAAAAGAGGCTTCGCTTGTTAAGGTGACGAAGATGAAAACCTTTCTGCATCATTTCATTTCCATAGCTTCTCTCAAAGACAAACCTCGTGGAGACTATAAAGAATTAGAATTTATGAGGTGCCAAAAATGTAAAAAGTACTGGAATCTTCATGATCGAATGCAAATGACGGAAGTTTCTCGTTTGCTGTGTCGGTATAGAAGGCGGACGAGTGCAACAAATCGGGTCGCGCAGAAACCCTCTTACCAGTAATAGCAAATACTATCCTCCACTCGGATTGATTGTTCAGAAAGCAAAGTGGAATTATTGTGTATTAGAGGTTGTTGACGAGAGACAGGGATACTTCAGGCAGTAATCGTCATCGACAATTCACAGTGTCTGACACAATTACAGAGAAGTATACTCATGATTTTGCTCTTTCGTTTTCTTCTAATCTAGTAAATACTTCAGGTAGCTACCAGGTACAAAGCCGCGGGAGACACGTCTCAACTTACTCCACAATGTTATTTCGTCAATTGCTTGGAGATCCTTGTCGGAGTCATTTCATCGAATCGATTTCTCCCACCATTTTGGTTCGGTGAACCTCTCTAATCCTGTAACATCATTACCGCGTGCAACATCACTTGCTACGACTTTGGCAGCCTTGATGCAATCATTTACACCGACTCCAGTGTACGAATTTCCAGCTACTGCCAGTCTTCCTTTGTATGCACTCAACAACTCATAATGCGCTTGCTTGAGCCTTTTTTCATGACCCACAGTATATTGAGGAATGCAGTCTTTCTGCAAAGATGCATGTGCCATTTCCGGATCTTGATCGATTTTCAGGTGTCGTTGGAGGACGGCTTTTGCCATAGAAATACCCTCTTCCTCATCGGGATATGTTTCAAAGTCGTCCCACCAATGGCCACCCAACATAACGGTAACTTTGGTACCTGGAACAGTATCCTGCCCAACTGTTGCGTCTGAATCAAACACCACACCAAGAGCAAATTCTGGATTTTGATCATAAGGAATGGACCGTGGGATTAGATATCCAAAGCCACGTTCGGGGAGAAGGTCTTCATCGCGGTAGTAAAGATTCACAACCATGACCGTCACGGCCTCTGTTTCTGCGAGTGAAGTGAGGAAAGAGTCATCTGAAGCTGTGGTTAAGGTAGAGAGAGTGCGACCTGACAAGGTAGAGATAACGTAAGAGTGGAAAGTAGGTGGTTCACCGGTCTGCGTTGTGTAGACCTAGGTAATTTAGCAGTCATTCCAAAATAGGAGTAATATACATATATACCTTAATACCTTCTTTTTGATCATCGTACTCTATTTTTCCAACATTCTCACCCAGCTTGATTTCGACATTAGGGTTGCTCCGCAAAGAAGACTCTAGTGCTTCAGAAAGTGTGCCAATTCCTCTACGGAATGTATATACACTTGTACCTTCTACAATTGCCCTCTCATTGTCCGTGAAAAGACTCTTTTCTTCATTCTCCATGTCCACATCTTCAGGTATCGCATTCTGAAATTTTCCCATTTGAGATATTCCTGCAGTGATACTTCCATATGCGCCTTCCATTCCCCACTGTGCAGAGGTTATACTCTTCGCACTCAACTTGTAGATATCACCGGCATAGATACCATGAAATACGGCCGACACCAAATTATTTGGAATATCTGTGGTCCCTGTTCTTCTGGCCAGGAAGGATCCCACAGATTCATCATCTAATTCTCTTGGTCTTCTCGGTCTCTTATATTCGAATAGCATTTTGTAGAATCCTTTGAAAACTGGTTCTGTTAACAGCTTCCAGGCAATAGCGTAAGTTCCTTGGCTAGGCTCAGGCATGCACACAAGGCGATCCGGATAATAGATGAAGCGATTCAAGGCAGCGGCAGACGTTTTGTCGGTTTTAATCACTTGTTCAGTCAGACCAAGATCTCTAATCTATGGATTCAATTAGGTTGACCGGAAATAAATAGTTGAAACAGGATCTTACCAAGTTCAAGGTAACAAATCCTGCAGGAGTGTTCGGTCTCAAAGTCCTCGGGCCTTGTTCGAAGACGACTTCACCATCTCCCACATCAATACGTTTTGTTCGTAGCCAGCCTCCTAATCTTTCACTGCCCTCGTATAATGTAACTTTTAAGTGCGGTGCCATCTGGGTGAGATAGTACGCTGTTGCGAGACCCGTAATTCCTCCGCCCAGTACCGCGACACTGGATTCCTTCCATTCTTCTGTATTTTTGTCTTCTGATGTGACTCCCGCAGACCTTCCCGTTGGTGTATTTGGCGAGACATGGCTACTGTAGTATTTCCGCAGAGGATAAGATCGTTCGCGCAGGCATAATTGTGGCCGCGCTTCAGAGCTATATGCTCTGGGATAAGATCCGAATAGTGTCCGCCGACATAAGCGTACAGCTTGACATTGAGGAGTATTATAGCATCGCCTAACAGGACTCAGTAAAGGAGACTCAGGCAGAGGCAGAGGCATATGCAGATGCAGACGCATCCTCATTATTTCTATTTGTGGATGCTGTGTAGTAGCAGCATGAAATTATTACTGATGATCGGATGAACTGCAGCGCAGTTTCGCTTACATTGACAGTGGCACCGACCCTGACACTGACACTCGAAGCCCAAGCTCTAAGCTACCAACCACCCTGCCAACCTGCCCCTCCCCCGCAAAGTGCTATGCTTCCGTATCA